GTTCATTTTAAAAATACTATGAAAATAAAACATCTCATGAAATGCGTTTGAATCACATTTTGCAAATTGAGCAATCTTGTCAAATCCTTTTTATGTACTGTTATTTAGCATTAGTTTATAAAACTGAGTTCATTTAAGTTCTCTTTCAGCTTTTTGACTTGAATAGTTATGGAGCAAAATTGTTATACTCAAACTCCGAGCTATACATTCAATCTCTTACCCTAAAATATAATATACATTAATTCTGTGAACTTTTGTTTATATAAAAAATGTATAAAAAATGGTTTTCCTACAGTCACCCGACAAAGTTGGCTTCCTTGTACTGTTTATAGTACAGAAAGCTGCTAATTGCTGCATATTTATACTTTGTCGTACGGTTTATACTTTGTCGTACGGTTTATACTTTGTCGTACGGTTTATACTTTGGCGCACATCAGGATTCCAACGAAACAACACAAAACAGCGTGGTTCTATTATGCACGTAATCCGTGTACGCTTGGAAATAAGTTGGCAACACTTAAAGAAAAATAATACTATGAACAGCTGATTGACTATTATAACTACGATTTAACCTGTCATTTCGTGTTTATAGTTTATGTTCTCTTTTTCGTATTTCTGAACTTTCAGGACTTTTCTTTAAAACATTCCTACGATCTTAATAAATAAGAAAATACCTTTAAAGCATTTTTTTGGCGCGAAAACCACTGCAAATTACAAAAATATACAGAACTATTTTCTCAAGTCGTGGAGCACATTGCTTGCCGAGGAAAAAATAGCGGAGTGATACGGACCAGGGACTACTTTCTCTAGGGCACCTATTTGTGTTGCCAGCTGAACCTTAAAACGTGTTGTATAGTGTTTGAAAGACTAATTATTTATATGCTTTATAGTGACTGTAGGAAAAATATAATGTGTAACACGAGTGCAAAAGGCCTTTGCTGCACTCGAGATCATTCCGCACTCGCCTTCGGATCGTGCACAAACGTTGCTCTCGTGTGAAGCAAAGTGCCACTTTGCTCACTAGTTACACAAATAACTATTGTAGTGATAAAGGATACAATTATTTCATCTTTCAATTTTTTTATATAACAAAATATATTTAATCTTGACTCCATGCTTGATTTGCTTTTTTCAGGATTGCCTCTAGATTGATTTATGCCAATTCAAAATAGGTTTACATCTTCAATCCTAGTTTAGTCTTGGGCGACTAGTTTTGCAACAATTGTTTATTTTTCAAGCCTCTTATTGTCTTATATAAAATTAATTTAATAATTCAATGACGAGATTGTATCATGTATTGACACGACATTGTGTTCAAATCATTTTATGTAAGACGGCAATAGGCATGAAAATGAAAAACTGGTTTGACCCCCGAGACTAAACTAGGATTGTTGTCCTAAGTTACATAAACCTATTTTATATTGTCTTCATTTGCTATCTACATCAATGCATGGCTTTATTATGAACAATCAACACTTATTTGGGGATAATTTTATCTCATTTTGGGATTTTAAATGTTTCTTAATTTTCATTTTATGTTTGATTTGAGAGTCTCTTAAATTTTATAAGTGTGAGCATTACCAAAATAAATTTTGAAATTTACAGTCCACTAAATATTTTACTTACTTTAATATAAGTAAAGATATAATACAACTAGCAGAGAACCCGTCTTTCGTACGGGATTGGCATTATACTCAAGCTTTGCGCTTGCAATGGGGGAGGACACAGTTTGATAAAAGTTGCTTCTTAAAATTGACGGTGTACTATAGTATACATCTACCATAGCCATAATGTTCTACCACTTCACCCAAACAATAGAGAAAAATAAATTATTAAAGTTTCGCAAATTTTCACAAATTATTCATGAAATTAAAACAATTAACATAACTGTAAACAATCCTACTTTGACAGTCCTCAGATACTGATTAGTTCAAATTAGCTGTTTTCACAAATAAGAAATATAATAGTACTGCACCCTGTTGGTAAATTTTATAACTTTTAACGCATTTGCATATCATAGAACCAACTTTTTAGTTGAATCAGCTGACTAAATTTTTTAATCTATAATATTAAAACGAAACTGTGTTTTTTTATTTCACGATTCTGAATCAACCACAGAACGGATTTTCATGATTTTTGTGTTGAAAGAAAGATAATTTTGAGAACTAGGGAATGTCGAAGCCATAATTTTAGTTTAGGGTCCCAGTTTTTTAGAAATTAAGTTTTAAGTCTAGCAGCCGACGCTAAGATTCTAAACTAGCTTTTGGCATAAAATAATTTGCTTAACATAACAGCTGTAAACATTCAGCTTTTGTGTCACAAATTCAGCATTTGGATAAAAATTTAAAGACATACTTAGGGTTGACTTATTTATACTATGTGTAATGCTAATCATTGATACGTTCAATTCTTCTGTAAGAGGATGACAGATTAATTTAATATACATAGTAAAATACTAGGATGTTCAAATTATTTTAAAAAAGCAATCTTTGTAATCTTCGATTTGTTTTAGAGCAATATAATTTGTTTTAACTAACAGCTGGTTAAAATGCCCTATAGAACTATGAGGTTATTTACTCAGATTTTGTCATTGATTATGGGAAATAAGTAAGATTAGTAGACCACCGAGATAAGTAACACCATCGATGTATACAAGTTGAGGCTCTGTACACGAGTTAAATAAAAAAAGAAATGCAAATTATTTTACGGCTCAACTTTTTTGGAAAGGGTAGGAAAATTACAAGTTTTACATGTTTTAATTTATCTTGGCAGCTTTTTGTTTACAAACAATGTTTTTGAATGCCTGAACTTTGCTTGGATTAGGCCCGGAAATATTGATGTCATAAAGATGGAGATCAAGAATCCTCAGGAATACGATTTTAAATTACCACCACAACCTCAGACGGGTATTATCCAAAGATATACAGATGAATGACATAGATTGAACACAACGTCATCATTGACCTAGGATACTGCAATTAGACTAACCATCCTTTTATGAAATCTAAAAAAGTTGTTTGGCGTGTGTTTAGTTGTTGTTACGTTTGGAGGCGCTGAATATTTTATAGTTTAAATAAATGAATATGGGGAATTACGATGTACATTGATTCAATGAGGGTGGTTCAATTATCAAGGATATTGGAACTGATAACGGAATGGATAATAAACATAGACAATTAATTACGTCACTAGCTTTACTAGCGTTTTTACTTTTTAAATTCCTTCAACATGTGCCCAGTTCTTTTGTTCAAATGAATATTATTTTTGACTCAGCTGTTTACAAAACAAACTAATATGTTGTGTTTACTTTTCTTTGTTTACACTTATTTATTTAGCAATTGATGCAGTGAAATTGACATAAAGGATGTGTGTGGACGATTCGTTTAGTGATATCAGGACACCAACGTTATAATTATGTGTACTGTGAATTTTATTGGATGTTTTCGTTTTATTTTAGGGAGTTTCTATTCAGACCTACTGGAAATTTGTGTATAGTATAAGTAATTGTATTGTGGTGATATTGATTATGGAAGAGGTAGGTATGCGATGGAAGGTGATATCATTGACTAGGCCTATACACTTCTCAATTGATAATTAATACTCTTTCTACTGTAGGCTGCAATAAAATTTGTCTTTATACGTGTAAACTAGCTGTTCTGAATTATAGGCCTAGACCGTTTTAACTGAATACTCCCGTACGTAGGACGGGCTAACACCTCGTTCCCTTTAAATATGAATATTCATAAGGTTAACATGGTGAACTAAAGAGTCACTGGGGCGGAGCCCGAAAGGATTTTTGAGATAAGAATATGCCTATATGTTAATCGGGAATGTGAGCTATCATTATGCTAAATTTCAGCCAAATCCGTCCAGTAGTTAATGCGTGATTGAACTTCAAACAAACACACACACAAACTTTCACATCTTACTAATATTATAAATGTGAAAGTTTCTGTGTTTTTTTGTTTGTTTGTTTGAAGTTCAATCACGCATTAACTACTGGACGGATTTGGCTGAAATTTAGCATAATGATAGCTCACGTTCCCGATTAACATATAGGCATATTCTTATCTCAAAAATCCTTTCGGGCTCCACCCCAGTGGCTCTGTAGTTCCCCGTGTTAACCTTATGAGTATTCATATTTAAGGGAATTCAAGAATTTAGTCAGATGTTTCAAATAAAAAAGTTGGTTCTATGATATGCAAAAGCATTAAAAAGTTATAAGATTTACCAATAGGGTGCAGCACTATTGTTTTTATTTTGCATTTACGAAAACAGCTTATTTGAACCAAGCAGCAACAAAAAATTGTGATACGCAATGAGAACTGTCAAGATGTGTAATACTATAGTATACCGTAAATTTAAAGAAGCAAATTTTATCAAACTGTATCCTCCCCCATTGCAAACACAAAGCTTAAGTGTAACTGCAATAACCATTTTATACTTATATGCTAACCCCGTATAAAGGACGGGTATTCTGCTAGTTTATAATATTAGTAAGATAAGATATCAGCTTTTAACCTGCATAATTAGATATTTTTGACAAAAAATAATTTACTCAGGCTAAATTATGAACTAATTTATTCAGGCTCTTTACTTTAGTTATATTTTCAAAAACGTATTAAAATAATATTTGTTAAAGTTATTCACAAAACTGATCAACCTAATACTATTCTTTTATAATAAAATCTTTGTAAAATTGAATATATAAGATTCGTACATTGGTTCTTCTAATACTATATGAAATATTACTAATCAAGCAGTTGGCTGGTGCTAATATTTTGCTGAATAAATGAGTACAGTAAGTAATTTTAATTAAAGATTTTCCATGGCTCATTTTTAATCTTTTAATTTTAAATCTGATGATGATTGTCCTAAGTTTTTTCCATCCCAAAGTGAGGATTTTTGGCAGAAATTGTGTTTCATCTCCTGGTCTAAAACTCTGAGATTGTATCTAATGGTTTACTAACTTGTATAAAACTATTTTTTTACTTTTTTAGGATGATGACGATGAAGAACCGTTATTGCTAGTTTCCAGACGTCCGAGATTTTTCATCACTTATCCACCTGAAAATCTTGGTTCCACACCGTGGAGTGTGAGTATATTTCTCACCTCATTACATGCTTTTTTATCTAATTCCCATCTTAGTATTACACATTTATTCACAAATTTTTATAATATAACAGCAGCGACAAACTATACTTGCACATGTTACTTACACATTTAGGCCTACAGAAAACACTAATTTATAATTTGTCTACATGTGTAACATATATTATGTAAATTGATTATGAATCACTTTATTGTCATCAAATTAATTGTTGTTGCCTTAGCAAAATGCTCGACGTTGGCGGAACAGGCCAGAAAATCATTTTTTACATAAACACACCCAGCAGACAATGTGGGACGGATGGAGAAAACTGGGAATACTCGAGGATAGAAAGAAGAAAAAGGTAGGCTAAATTTAAAAAATATAATCTGTATTATAAAATTAATTCCAGATATTTTTATAATGTGCAAACAAAAAGTATTTTTAAATTCTCCAGTCTTGTAAAAGTGGAATTGCATTTACTTTTGAGACTTTTTCGGTAAGCCTGTGGTAAAACCAAAATTGAGAAAAGGGGGGCCTGGTTGTCCTCTCAGGGTAGATTCGGGATACCTCTCCCAGAAAAGATATTATGATTGTGCCGTAATTAATTACAATTATTTCCCTATACACTAAAGCAGATTTTCAATTTTTCTTGATATTGTTGTATAGCTATGATTTTGATATGATCAAACTACAGTGTTGTTCGGATTACATTTTTAGGAGTTAGAAAAGCATTGGAACAAACTGGTTGAGGAGGAGAAAGAATTCCAAAAAGAGTTGAAAGAGCGGTTAATGAAAAGAAAGGTTCTGCGAGCATCTTTGTCAGTGGGGCTCAACAGCACAGTAAGTGGCAACGGCACTGTCCACCACATAGACTCTACAACGTCCATCTCTGTGTTGGACTCCGTGCTGGAACGCAACACTGCAGTCAGCTGATACTTGCAATATTACTTCTCATTGGAAAGGTAAAAAGGAAATACAACTCTGTAAATCTGAATTTTTAAAGATTGAAGGCTTCTTTAATATTGCGTTATCCTGTACACATAAGCCCTAACATCTGTGAATTAAGCAAATAAATATGAAATGAGCTACAATTCATAAAGGTTAAAAATTAAATTTAGTAAATAGGCTCCCTTACTTTCATCTGTAGTCAACATTTTCTCAACAAATTTTCCCTGACTAGTTTTCTTACAAGTGCATCATTGTCCAAACTTGCAATGCAACATACAAAAAATTACATGCAACACGATCCAAGACACAAAATATGTAATACGAAACTAAAAAAGATAAAGATAGTTCTACCGTACTGAGCCTGGCTGTGACAGTCAACTAGTGTAGGTAGGCCTCCAACGTTGTCAAGGCTTGCAACAAGCCTAGTCAGGAACATTTGGTTGGCAAACATTTATACTACAGGTGGAGCCCATTTTGTCGATAAAGTCCTAGGGTTTTAATTACAGATTGTTTTTAAATATTTCACATCAACAGATGTATTATTTGCTTTGTTTTGTTATTGATGTTCATGTTTTTTATACCTTTGCAGTGGTGGCTGGTGGGTTTAAGTTGTGAGAAGATGCATAGATTGTTTTGGGAGGTTACTGATACCGAGAGAAGGTTAAAAGTAAACAAAATTGAGTCACTTTAACGTCAGTTTAAAGCACGTTATGGATATACTGTTTTATTCATACTGTAATTGTTTTCATTTTCTCTTTGATTGTAGTTGTCCTCATCAGTCAGGCATACTTTGCAGAAATATTTTTAACAGAATTTATTTATAGAAATCATTAGCATCCCTGAACAACACTTCTAGAGAAATAATATAGTACATTAATTAACTACAGACTCATATTTACTGAGTCCCCGTGTACTACCTGTTGCAAAAACATGTTGCGTCCATTATCACCCGTTTATTTATTTATTTATTCCAAAAAACTTAGACCCTGCTATCGTTTTTATGTACATTCAAATGCTGGAATAAAAATCATATTTATGATTATTTATTATTATTAATTTAACTGTTGTCTAGAAAATGGGAGGACTCCGTCCCAAAGTCCTAATGGACCAGCCGCCACTGCTCAGGAATACCCTCTACTGTTATACATCTTAAAACTATTTATATTTTTCAGATAACTTAAACTGCTGATGGCGTGGACTAATATATGGGAAAACTTCCTTTAGAGACTGATTTCTCCATGAGATCTTTATGAGATTCGAGTCGTTTTATGACTTTCACTTGTTTTATACTTTGTGTACCCTTTTGTTATTGATATTATTTAGACGTTTGATACGACAAGTTTTTTTCAGTGACGGTTTTGTGTTTATTTTTTTTATTTTTGCAATTATAAGTGTCATGAGACTGAATTATTTTCTGTACTAAGTTTCCAGAGCTATTGTAAAAGTCTCTCTTGATATTGGAACAATTATAAAAAAATATGAAATATGTTTTGTATATATTTTAAGTAAATTATTATTTATTTAGCCAGTAAAGATGAGTTTCATTTTTGCTGTAAGAGTTCTTATTGTTTTTTAGTGAATCTAATAAAATTAATAAAATTCGATATAGTATTTAAGTTGTTAAAATTTTAATCAGTTTGTGCAATTTATGCCCCTTAAAAATGATTTATTTTGATTACTTTTAGTTTTTACTTTTGCCATGGATAAAAATATTGATACACAATATTGGTAGCTTATGAAGATATAAAAGTAACAGGTGTATGTTGATGTAGAAAAAAATGTATAAATAACACAACTAGGGGGTTAATGTCTCAGTTTAAAAAATAACTTTAGCCATCTCTAAGGTAAGTTTTTTTCTTTATATTTTTAACAAATAAATATATTTAAAACTACTTTTTAACATAATGCTTTTCCAGTCAAATTACATTAGGTTTATGTAGTATTCACTATTGCATTGAAACTAAACTATTCAAATCTACTGTTTTGAAAATGTTATAGATAAATTTTAAAAATATTTTGAAAACCCTCATAGCATAATTTAGAGTTTTGCTCTAAGTGTATACCTATTATAGTTGTTTAATAACTATTCTCAGAATTATGTTAAACAGGCAACAAAAATATGTTTAAGAGGAAGCTAAAAGTTGTGCCAAATAAAAAGTTTGATTGTAAACTAAACTGATCAAGCAAACATAAGATAAATGGTAAAAACAAACTTTCTCCTTCCCCGGGTAAATTCTCTATCAGACACAGACACTTCTAACACAAAATGTGACCTGACCAATGACCATTGTACTGGACGATTTGCTCTCCTTCATCTTTTACTTCTAATTTTTTTAAATAGCCTGGTAAATAAAATTCATTCTTCAGCTATTTCCAGTATGCAATTAATTTTTACCATTGACTTTGAATATTCAAGTAAAATAACCCCTTCTTTTTAAACAAGCTGTAGCAGTTTACTAGTTTTTTTAGAACACCCAAGTAGTTTCAACGACCTTCCCACATGCTACAATTGAAGTTATACTAATCAAAATTCATGTTTCTGGCCCCTGTACTATACTGTATTTTTAAGACAATAATAGGTTTTATACATACCTCCGTCAAGTAGTACAACGATTAATATTGCTCATCAGCTTACATGTTTCGTTGCGAAGACAACATTTTCAAAGCTTGCAACTTGTCAAAAACACATTTAAAACACCAACGACACAAACACAAAAAACATTAAAATGGAATTAATACACAGTAAATATTTAGATAGCGCTATCATGATACTGATTTGGTCCGGCGCGGCGCGGGGTTGGTAGCAGACTCAGATTTAGATTTAGACTTAAGATATTTTTTGTGTTTGTGTCGTCCGTGTTTTAAATGTGTTTTTGGCGAGTTGCAAGCATTGAAAATGTTGTCTTCCCAACGAAACATGTAAGCTGATGAGCAATATTAATTGTTGGACTATTTGACGGAGGTATGTAAAAAACCTATTATTGTTATACTTTTCTTTTAAATGTTTACATTGTTTTTTGTTGATGGATACCTAAAAGATGCAGATGAAGTTACAAGGAATTGTCATTTCAGTTTTGCGCAGTTACAAAGTTAGTGTATGATAAATGAAACAGTATTTAATAGAAGCACACTCTGATGGCGGTTGAACTGAACAGTTTTCTTCTGGTATGAAACTGGTCAGAACTTTTAACATGATAATGGAGTGTTTAGCTCTCTAGTATATATATATATATATATATATATATATATATATATATATATATAGGTAGGTAGTTAAATGTTTAATAATCTTGTTCTATTTTGATAGTTATTACATGTCAATAACTTTTAGACAACAAGACCTACAAGGAAGGAACCTTACACAGGGTTCGTCTTCACTCAACGTCCACGGAGGTTTCAACCGAGAGATTATCGAAGGAATGAACCTAACCCAGTCATGCCACCACAGCAACGAAATCATCAATCTCGCCACTCAACAAGTACGTCATGCCAATTTACTTAAAATTTTAATTTGCTATAGTTACAGAAAATATTGTTTTCATATGGGAATAAAGGTTTTTTTACAAGTAAACTCTATTTAAATCTTAATCATTAGAATGGATAGAATAAACCTGCCACAGAAAACCTGCAGACTAAGCAGATTCTTTTGACTTATTGGATTTTCACTTAAATATATCCTAAAAAATTTCAGATTCATTATCTATTTAAATAACACTAAGTTTAAAGAATACTCGGGTTTTCTGCTACTAGTTTAGTATGAAGGGAATACATTTTCCAAATTTGATCAAAATATATCCATAAATAAGCAAACTACACCTGTTAATTATTCTCCATAAAATAATATTAAAATTTTAAATTCACACAGTTAAACAAATATTTCTAACTTAACCTTCAAGCGTTCAATTTACAATCATAATGTTTTGATAAGCTCTACAAAATGGTATGGAAAGAAATAGCAAAAATTAATGTTTTGAGGGTCAAAAAAGTAATTGGATGATTTTTAATTGAGTTTTTTTATTAAGACCATTATTATCGGTTTTAGAGTTAGAGCTATTATTATTATTGGGCCGCTTTATTATTAAGACCAGATGTTTCTTTAATGATTGTAAAATGTAATGTGAACACTACAACCATTCAACTACCTAACAACTTTTTTTATGACTTCTTCCAGGGTCCCCACCGCACCTCCAGCCCCCCACCACCCCTCGCCCAGAGTCTACAACCGAGTGGTGGCCACCTGGAGTGTCCCACGGCCCTCCACCTATCAGTCGGATCCCCATCGGTATCATCTATCCCGAGATAGGACGGTGGGAAGCAGACTTGACCAATGTGAGGGTGAGGACAAGCGCAACAAGAATGACCTACCCTCCTGAGGTCGTTAACTACCCTGTCACCTTCGACTGGAACTTTCCTCGGCATCTGCGGAAGGATAAGTAAGTTGTCAGATCATGGTTGGTTACCTAGACACTCTCTATCTTTGTTATCATGTATCCTAAGTGTAATGTAAGCCCTGTGCACACCGGAGCGATACTTAAAACGCTGGAGTGGCACGATACTATTCCTAGAATTTTATCTGCGATACTTGTGCGATAATATCGCAGAGGAAACAGGTGCTTCCACACCAGAGCGGGAAAATTGACACGTGGGAAAGCCAGTACACCTCAAGTAGTAGGTTGCGGTGGTTTTGAGACTCTCTAAATGTAAGTGTTGTGTTATGGTTAGTGTTTGTACTGTGTGTCAACTTAATACCATGACATTGACTGATGAAGAAGAAGCTTTGCTGTTATCGTGCTAGAAGATAAAAGAGCAAGGAAAATGTGTATCCAGAAGTATTCAGTGTTTTTCCGATGTCCTCCCAGATCTTGTCCTTCTTTCGTATGTTCTTATAATCCTTGTGATTCAAATCATAGAGCACCGGGTATGTATAAACAACTTTAAGTAAGTGTTCGGCGATACACGACATGTTGTTGTTGTTTTTTCACGTGCACGGAACAGTAAAAACTGAGTAGTTCATAGTTTGGTCACATGGTAGCGCCGCGATAAAGAGCTGCAAACAGTGCATGCAGCGTTACTGAGATACTATCGCTACGGTATCGCATTTGTCTCGGTATCGCGTATCACAGTTCGCTCTGTTGTGTGCGGCTCCATAAGCCGCCATGGTATCGCACGGGTCACTGGTATCGCAAGAGAATTTCCAAGAAAAAGTATCGCGCCTGCTCTAGTATCGCGCCCGCTCTAGTATCGCACGGAGTATTGCTCTGGTGTGTGCAGGGCTATATATAGAAGGCTGTAAGAAACCCCCTTAGATGAATGAGGGCAAGATAAATCTCAAGAGATTTTTTAAACACAAGATGGTTTTTAATTCTTGAGGCTAGGAACTGTTGAAATTCTGTTCATTAGTATCATAAAAATATTGGTGGTATTTTCTTCCATTACATTATCAACTGATTGTATGATTATTGTCACAATAATATGGTTCTTGTAAAATACAGCAATGTGAATAATAAAGTATTAAGAACGTTTGCTAAATAAAAAGGTTTAAATATCTGCTATTAGGCAATCCATTCATTTGGAGTCGCAACTAGTTTCTGATCATATATTCATCCGAGGATAGATTGATGGACATGGATTGATGTTGGAAATAACTCATGATCCGAAACTAGTTGTGACTGCAATTGAATGGATTGCCTAATATCAGGTATTTAAACCTTTTTAATATTGTTATATGGCAATCCGGAGGCTAATATCACAATGATGTTTACTAAACTTAAATATACTGTACAAATATAATTGACTAGCTGTACCCGCGGGCTTTGCCCCGTTTAACTTCATAAGTGAGCTCGTTCTCATGGCTCAATCATGTTCTGGTTGAAGTTCGTTCGCTACGCTCACTCACCTTTAGGTTGGAGGTCGTTCGCTGCGCTCACTTGCCTTCAGGTTAGCTCGTTCGCTACGCTAACTCGCCTCCAGGTTGAAGTTCGTTCACTACGCTCACTCACCTTTTGGTTGCAAATTAGCTGTTGTCATAAATAATAAAAAAAATAATAGTGCTGCACCCTGTTGGTAATCCTTGTAACTTTAATGCTATTGAACATCATAGAACAGAACCAACTTGTTTAATTGAAACAGCTGTTAAGATTCATTATTTCCTTTTAAATATGAAAAATCATAAGGTTAACATGGGAAACTCCAGAGCCACTGGGGCGGAGCCCGAAAGCCCGATCAAAATAAAAACTACTTAGTTTTCCTATTTAATGCCCAAAGAATCAGAGTACCGAATTTCAGCCTCCTAGGTAAATGGGAAGTGGGTGAATTAGTGATGAGTGAGTGAGTGAGTCAGTGAGGGCTTTGCCTTTTATATATATAGATTAATTTGATTTCTTAAAATTATACTTATTTTAATTTTGATTTTAACTATCAACTTTTTTCCAGGTGGACCCAAAGACCAGACTGGCCGCTGGAATCTCCACTGTGGTCCAGTGAGGCGTATGACTACCTCGAGGAGCGAACTCTGCCTCGCATACTGGAGAGTGGGGAGACTGAGTTTCCCCCCACCTCCCCCCTGCCATGGTGGACCTACCCTCCGTGGTGGTTGCAGAAGAAAGAGACTGAGACTGTCAATGGAACTACTCCTAGACCTTACACACGGAAAACCACAGTGAAAAATAGTACAACAAACAAATCTGTAAACAACAAACATAAAGGTAACGGTATATCAGAATTTCCTGAATCAAAAGATGCAGAGACATCTGTAGGAATGGTGGGAAAAGAGGCTGAAGAAACAACATTGTTGCCAGAAACAACAGGTTTGAAAGCAGATGTGTCAGGTATCAACAGAAAACTAGATGAAGACAGTTCAACATATATGACAAAGAGTAGCAAGGTGAAAGCATCAGGTGATGCACAGGAAAAAGACGAACCAGAAAAAATCAGTGAAAATATTCAGCAGCAAAGAAAAATTCACCACAAGGGTCCTTGGTGGCATTTAACTGTTGTGGAACATTTTACTGCCAAAACCCCTAAAGACCAAGGGAATAAGAGAATCAAACGATCACCTAAACTAGTTAGGCAAAATGCATTTAGGAGAAAATGGAAAAAGTTTAGAGAAACCAAAAATTCATCTCATACCTTAGATTTGAATAAAACAAAATCTGCTAATGTTACTGAAGGATGTGAAAGTCCATCTATTCAGCATGTTTTGTCAAATTATAGTTTCACTTGGCCTAAAATTAATAATGAGACCCACTCATCAAAGGTATACATTGAAAAAGTATTGATGAAATCATTAGACGAACTGAAAACGCTTGTAACTGAAGAAAATAAACCTCGTAATAACTTACTGAGCACATTACAAGGTCAAACACATTTAGGGATTGAAAACCATATTGCTGATTTACGCAATATATTTTTGATTGCTGTAAATAACTACCACCACAAGAAAGGTTGTAGTTTACTTTTTAATGTAATAATCAACGAAATAGGAAGTGATATGGTAAAGAGTTTGTTGAATCATACAAACATTGTGAGACAACAGTTGGATAGATTGTTAGGAAGGAAAAAAGGCCACAGGATTGAGAAAGATGTCTACAAAAGGTATGTGGAACAATCCAAGTTAATTAGTATTTATAAATTACTATACAATCATAATTTTCTGAATCGTGACAGCAGTGAAAAAATTAACAATATTTTAAAGAATGTGTTAAATATAAATATTGGCTTTTTGAACAGTAACTACACTAATACATATATGTCAAGTAACAAGGGAGAAGTATTAAACCACAAACACAATTCAAACATTAAACATAGTGTTATGAAGAATATTTTTAGAAGAAAAAGAGAGGATATAACTGATATTACTGAATGTCCTTTTAATTTATCAGCACAATCTGTTGAAAGAGTTGTTGGTGAAATTGTTGATGAAATCGTTGATGAAATTCCAGTCGATGAAATCAACGAGGAAGTCAAAACTGATGTGTTGACAGCAATGCATGAAAATCAGTTGAAAAGGCTAGGAAAAACTAATATAAATAAGAATGTGTTAAGAGAAATGGCAAAAATTGAATCTGTAGATGAAGCTAAATTCAGGAATGCAACTGAAGACTCTGTTAGAAAGGTTATCATGAAAATGGTTAATGAAGTCCTAAATACTTTGAGGAAGAATTCTTGGATGAAGGATCTAATAATAAAATTGTTTGAAGAGGGGTATTCGGTGGATTCAGTATTGGAAACAATATCTAATCAAATCTCTATAGAAGAATTGATGAATGGTATGGAAAAAGATGGAATCAATATCACACGTTATCAGAAGAGATTGGTATTAGATGAGTTCAAGGGCTATAAGACGTTGTTGAGGAAAATGTTGAATAAAGAAGTTCAGCTTTGGGAATATCAACTTACAAAGAATCAGTCTCTGATTAGATATAGAAGAGATTTATTAGATGCACATGAAGATGATGAAATTGGATTGGAGAGAACAAATCACAAAATTTATATTGAACAAAATATTATTTCATCAAGTAAATCTCATATACCCATTGATAGTAAACAAACAAAAAATGATGGGGTGGAGAATTTTTTCTTAAATATTTTACGAGTGAAGAGAGATATAAATGATAATGAAATTTCAAAAACACCAGGTTTAAATATTGACGATTTTGATCTTAATGATGAAGACCTCGACAAAGAGCTTGCAGAACTAAAGAAAAGCTCAATGCCAAAACGTGAAAAAATTAAAGTGCTCAAAAAAAGGTTAAAGGGTCTTCTGGACCAGACTGAAAATCCCAAGGATATTGTGTTTCCTGATAATTTTGAGGAAGAGCTAATGAGAACAGAGAATTTTTACGACGAGGAAGTGACTCCAAGCCCTCAAAGATTCAAACAACGAATAAGGTGGAATGTTAGAACAAAGAAGCCTACCACCAAAGTCATAACCTATCCGATGAAAATTCGATTGAATAGAGGAAGACCGTTTGTTCCTTTAACAACAACCGAAGAACAAACGCTTATTATGGTGGTAACAAAAACTCCTTCTAGAAGATCAAGAACAAAGAAACCTCCTCCCAAAAAAGTAGTTGCACCAACCAAGTCACTCCATTTCCCTACTAAAAAATCTACTGAATCAAAAGATCGATTTTGGTTTGACTTCACTACTTCTCCCACTAGCAACAAAATACCGAGATCTACTGATAAGTTTGTTAGGAGGACTTTGAAACCAGCCCAAACACTTCCTACGTTAAGAACATTTAAAACAATGAAATTCATCCAAAAAACTCAACAACCCGTTATCTCTATTCAAGAATTTCTGAAAAGAAGAAATAAATTCAAGAAACAAAAGGTAGAAGATATGTTTAATAGACCATCAAAAGATGATGGCGAAAAATTACCTGATACGAGGAATCTCTCAGACTCTGAGGAAGAAGAGTTCTCGTTTGGAGCGGAGGAAGTAACCTTCCCTTCTGTACTTAGTACATCTGACCCAACAAATACTCTGGATAAACCCTCGTTTGAAAAAACAGCTTCTTCAACTGAACCTCTTACACCAATGTCATCAAGGGTTGTGATGAAAAAAACACCAAGGAGGAAAACAGCTTTGCATCAAAACAGAACACGATTGAGAGCACCTACACAAGCTTATTCAGTAGCAGGAACCAATCTGACTAATGGCATCGGAAACAAAAGTGACAGTACAAACCCACTGCGCAGAAAAAGAGATTTGACTTTCACACAACCTTTCACTACTCTAAAGGTTTGTTTTAAATTGTATTTCCATCTGTATTTAAATAAGCCAAGACCTATCTGTATTTGACAGTAATGAGGTTGTATAGGTCGCGTTTTTATATCATTTTTAACAATTTATACCGGGTGTCCCACGAAGGGGTTTAAACGTTTGATTTTATATTACGTGCCCATTCATGCACCAAACCTTTTTAAACTTTACACAGTTTACAAAGTAGGTTCAAAAAATATTCTGGAAAAATTTCAACTCCCTAACCTTAGTAGAAACAAAATGGCGGCTTATTGACAAATTTACCAATGTGCTTTCTATAAAAACTACTTTCATGATTTATTATTAGTTATTTATTTATTATTATTATTTATTAGTTATTTGATTAATTTTTAGTTTTCCATTTGGCTATGTTCTAATTTTTTCTTTTTTTAAAGTCATATTGCCCTGGAAAGTAACAATAAAAATATTTTATAAAACCAAAAATACCTTTTTTAATGTTTTAAAGTAACTTTTTCAATATGCCGCCATTTTGTTTCTTCTAAGGTTAGGGAGTTGAAATTTTTCCAGAATATTTTTAAAACCTACCTTGTAAACTGTGTAAAGTTTCAAAAAGTTCGGTGCATGAATGGGCGCGTAATATAAAATCAAACGTTTAAACCCCTTCGTGGGACACCCTATATTTAACAAACTTATTTAGCACATTAGAAATTTCACAACACTTCATAATCTTAAATTGCAATGAAATTCTTTTTTATATTATCTTACATTATATAAACTAAATGATACAGGAAAAACAGCCTTGGGTATTCACCATTTAAATTCTCACAAACATTTATAGCAGGATGAATGAGTCTCGGGTTAAAACTTTCATACCTGTGTTCCGTCGAATTTCTTGATAATTTTAAGTAGAAAAAACTTGCCTCTTGTATGCTGTATTGAATACATCAAATTAATTTGATCTGTTTAGGATGGTGAAGTTTTTGAGTTTACAATTTTTTCTTGAGAAGATATGAAGATGAAGTCAAGTTCATCGTTCAGCTTATAAGAGGCAAGTTTTCTCTGTTACTACTTACTATTTTTATTTTTGTTATTATTTGGTTTTCTATTATTTTTCTTTTTAATAAATAATGTATTTTCTTACTATTATGATTGTACTATTTAAAGTAAGTAATGTGTACAGACTACTTTTTAGTTTTTACTTTCTTGAAATAGTGCAAAACACAAAGTATTGTTTAATTTTGCAATTTTTTTTATTTTATTTTTTTTTTTAGTAAATGTTGTCCATTGCAGTGTATAATTTGTTTAACCTTCTATGCACTATTTGTTTTAGGTTCTTGTTTTTTTCTTGACTTATCACAGTGGCTAAGGCCTTTGTCCAAAAACAAAAAGTACAGTTTCAATGAAAAACAATAATATGAAAATAAAAAGCTTAAAACCTGCCAAACCTGGCTTTTTCTGCCACTGGAATGAGGTTGTTAAAAAATATGATTCAGAAAATCGATGATGCGAAATATTTTATATTAGGCTTATTTATATCATTCAAATTATAAACATTCAATGTCTAATTGTAATGCAATTATTTTTGTTATAGACAGAAGATTTCAATGATGTAACTATCCCTCCACTGGTGATAAGCAAAGAGAAGTTTAGAGGATCTAAGAAAAACATTTCTGGAAAGTCACTTGAGGACAGAATTCAGTTGCATAATTGGTCATATGGAGTGAAACAGCCAAAGGATAGGAGAAGATATAGTGAGAACAGGACAGATAGCTTTGAAACATACCAACAAGAACATCGGAAGTGGTTTGGAATCAGAAGAAGAGGAGTGCCTGTCAACAATTTTGATATTGATTGGGAACAGATGCAAAGAAAAATGCATCAGATTGCAGCTTTGCAACAACATAAACCCAGTATGAGACCAACTATATTTGGAAAACTATTGAAGAAGAATGAGCGGATTGCAACTCCTTTGACTCAGGCAACAACTCCGATATTCTTGGATAGCTCAGAGAAACCAAGTAATCTGTTGGACAGCATGTATAGATCTGCAATGAAAAAAGGCAGGACAAAAAGTTTTGACAAGCATTATATTTCAAGTGAAAATGCAGAAGAGAAAGTAAACATGGTGTATCCACCATTTGGAAAGATGGAAAAGGATGGACATACTGCATTTGGAAGATTGTATCACGGGAAGAAACATTATCAATTGGAGGATTCGAGAGAGAAGATTTTTGAAGAGAGTGATCTTGTTCGACTTGTTAATAAAACGTACGACCCAGACTTCCGAATAAGTACCCATCGGAAATCTACCTGGAACAATCGCACTTTTGACCCGAACTATGTTTTCACCCAGTTCGTTCCTGTACCAGGAAAGACAAGGACTAAACCGAAATTTGAATGGCTTCAACGAATAGATTTGTTTTTGAACCAATCTACTCCAAACACAATTGATTTACAAAATTGTACTCCTGAAATAGAACGGTTAGATGTTTTGGAAGACCAAACTACCAGTTCAATACATGAAAAAAATACAACGGGAAATCAAAATGAAACATATGTAATGACTCGATCAAAGCGTGTTCCGTGGGATAACAACACAGACATTGAGACTTATAAGATATACATAAGATCTCGAAAGAGGTTCTACAACAAAACAATAGACATCGCCTTTTCATACTTTGTTTTCCATAAGTTTCGGTGTGGGAACAAAACAAGAGATTTGGGCTACGGAAGGATGAGCAATGTGGTAAATCGATGGTATAACAAAACATTTGTACCGAAATTTCGGCCTGATATGTTTTATATACGGAATAGATATAAACGTGGAAAAGAATTCAACTACTTTAAGGATGAGATGAATGAAGTCCATGCAAATATAAGTGTTGGAGAGTTTGACTTGTTCAGATGGATGCAGGTTGCGACTGAAGCGAATTTAGAGGAATCCAATCGAACTAGGAGTCCAGATGAAGAAGAGTACAGGGAAAATAGGAAAAAGAAGCGGATCATTGAGGTTTTCTCTTCTGGATTTCCTTTCAAGTCAACACCAGTTCCAGGAACTAGTTTATTTACTACATACCGGTGGAGAAGAAGGTTCCCAACCGTAGCTACCAAAGTCCCTACTACCAAAGCCTCATTCTTCCAAGCTGTAAAGAAAAGAGGATTTGGATTTCTGAGGAGCTTATTTGGCAAGCAAGAGTCAAACGAAAAAGATGAAAATGATTAAAATTTACCAACAATAAATGTACAGATTTTTGTCATGAAAGAACGACTTTAGTGTATGTCAGTCAAATGTATTAAAAAATCATATACACTATCTAAAAATATTGAATATTGGCCAATTAGATTTAAAGCATACCTACTTAATAAGTTAAAAACTTCCCATATGATAAAGATTGAAATAAAGTTTTTTTTACTTTTGAAACTGGTTCCTTCTGCTTATCCTTTACAATCCTAATGACCTAATATTTATCAGATGTAAAAAAATTAACCTATAGTAAATTTTTTCTTGCAATGTCATTTTTGTATATTCATTAATTGAGTGGAGCGAGCGAAGCTCAGATTCTATATTCTTATTTTTGATTTACAAAACTCCTGAATGGCTGAAGCAATCCGCAAGTATATTTATCACTAACTATGGGAAGATATAAAATCTAAAATGGTACAAATCGGACTTCAGGGTTCTTATGGGTTGATTGGTCACTTTAAGGTTTTGTGTCATAATAATCTTACTAATATTATAAATCCGAAAGTTTGTGTGTGTGTTGCTCAATCAGGCATAAACTACTGGACGCATTGGGCTGAATTTTGGCATGATGATAGCTCACATTCCCGATTAACATTAAGGCATATTCTTATCTCAAAAATCCTTTTGGGCTCCGCCCCAGTGGCTCTGTAGTTATATAAAATCTAAAATGGTACAAATCGGACTTCAGGGTTCTTATGGGTTGATTGGTCACTTTAAGGTTTTGTGTCATAATAATCTTACTAATATTATAAATCCGAAAGTTTGTGTGTGTGTTGCTCAATCAGGCATAAACTACTGGACGCATTGGGCTGAATTTTGGCATGATGATAGCTCACATTCCCGATTAACATTAAGGCATATTCTTATCTCAAAAATCCTTTTGGGCTCCGCCCAGTTCCCCATGTTAACCTTATGAGTATTCATATTTAAAGGGAATTAAAGAATTTAGTCAGCTGTTTCAACTTTACAAGTTGATTCTATAATATGCAATAGCATTATAAAAAGTTATAAGGTTTCCCAACAGGGTGCAGCACTATTATTATTTTGTGTTTTCATAACAGCTAATTTGAATGAAATAGCAACAAAAAGCTGTGATACACAATTAGAACTGTCAAAGTAGGATTGTTTACAGTTAGGTTTGAGTTTTTAATTTAATGAATAATTTGTGATATTGTGCGAATATTTGATAATTTATTTTTTCTATTGTTTAGGTGCAGTGGTAGAACATTATGGCAATAGTAGATGTGTTATACTATATCATACCGTAAATTTATGAACCAAATTTTATCAAACTGTGTCCTCCCCCCATTGAAAACGCAAAGCTTGAGTACAGTATAACTGCAATAAGCATATAATACTTATATGCCAACCCCGTACGAATGACGGGTGCTCTGCTAGTGCAAATATAAACCAAAGAATTATAACATATGTTTATAACTAGCAATCCACTCCAACTGTCGTAGTTTAACAGAGCAAAAATTACAAACTAAATAAATACAGGGTGTTTTTAAAAGAATGCCGGGATTTTAAATGATAATTGCTTGGGTACTATTAAAGGTAACTAAACGTTTTATACAACAAATTGAAGCTTAAATAACTAAGTTTTGTTTCCCGAGTAGCAAGGGAGGAAACTTTGACTTTGGCATGCGCAAAACAGGTGCGCGGTGCTAGGTCGCTATTGTGACTCACACGCTTTGACGCCAGTCGCCAGTACGACGTTTACGGCACAACACAGAAGTCACAGATTGTAATCTGTGGTTCACAGAGTTTATCTCCATTGCTAAATTAAACTAAATTTAATAAATCTACTTGATGATAAAGAAACTTGAAGCTGGTTCAATGAGTTTTGTGGCACCATAGTGTTTTGAAGAGACATTCACCTGGCCGGCTAAAAACAAGCGATCAGTTAGTCGAAGAAATCCGACAATTCTGCATCAGAAGCCCGAAAAATTTGATCGCCCAACAAAGTCTTCAGCTGAACAAACCTAAATTGGTCACTTTATGATGTTATCTGTAAAAGAAAGAGTCTTTTGTGCTTAAAAAGATTCAGTTAAGACATCAGATAAACCCGCCAATTGCCTTAAGCGTACAGACATTGCCAGTTTTGCGCTCATATAAGATTGATGAAAATCTGAATTCTATTAAATCATTCTGAATCGTATGAAAGAATGAGGAAAAAACTTTGTTCTTTTCCCTTCAATTTGACGTAAATCGTTTAATTATCTTGAATAGTGCCCGAGCATTGACCGTTTAAAATACCAGCATTCTTTTAAAAACACGCTGTATATCTTTTATCCTCACATAAACGTTTTACAGATTACATAGCGATAGCAAGAGCAAAAAAAAACAGGTTACATTGTCAACATAATCATAATATATCATAAAAAGCACCTAAAATAAAAAAAAATACACAAAGATTCTTAGGAATAATTATTTGCATTATTTTATAAAACTTAAATACTTAAATACTTTTAATATTGACTTATTTAAAAAATTACCACCACTCAAAAATTCATCATTACTAACTACAGTTCATAAGAAAATTAATTTGGGATTAAAACAATAGAGGATAACAGCTTGAAACAACTTTTATTTTATTTATAACATAAGGATCAATTGATGCAAAATCATGCAACATCTTGATCCAGGGGCTAACCCATCAGGACATTTATTATGTTGTTCTGGATATAGGCTGGAAAAAGGTATGAAACATGAAGAAATTTTATAAACCACTGCCATTAGTGTTTCATTAATATTATTTGTTTACCAGTCAGTCGTCAGTAAAATGCTTAAGTAGTGCTTAAGTAAAATGGGGTAGACTGTCTCTAAAATGGCGTACCGGTACCTCATCCATTACCTTTTGTATCAGTATATTTTTTCACCACAATATGAACTTATACCTTAACAATCACACTAGAAGCTGAGCCAGGTAGCTAATAAATAATCTTTTGTTCAATATAACAAGTAGGAGTAAATAAACCTGGTATACACTTCTAAAGATCAAAAGCTGTATAATTGACTTGGTACACACAATGTTAATTTGGAATTATATGCATTGTCCCTGTTTTATTGAATATTATTTTTTAGGAACAACTTGTGGAAAGAGGTAAACGAGATGTAAAGAGAAGTGATGATGATTTTGTTGAAACTGAACAAAGTAATCTAGAAAAAGAAAATAAATTCACAAGGAAACAAAATATTCAACAAACCAGCACTGAGGCTAGCCCAAGATCTAATGAAACTAGTGAAGTAATTAAAAAACCAAACAGTTCTCTAGTTCACAAAAAGCCAGCTGCCTTAATGCGATATTTGTACAGGATCAAAGATTGTGTTATCCTAAAAAAGAAACAGCTTGTTCACAATTTTAAGGAACATGTAAACCAGAAAGCCATGGAAGATGCAGCGTTGTGGGTACTGAGCTATGTGGCAAAGGCTTATCACTTTCTACGGAAAAAGATTGAAGAACATGCCAATGATTCCATGGAAGGAAAGGATCTCTCTATGAGATCATAACATTGATTGTAAATACTAAGTAAGCCCTATATAATCTGGAGTCATCTGAGTTGTACACTAGTTGTGGAAAATAATGAAAACCTGGACTACTTGTTATGTACGCAGGACAATAAACTCAATTACAATTTGACATTTAAATGCACATTTTGGTAATGTTGACAGTAACCATAACTGTATAGTTCACAAATGGCGTACAGTACTGGTAATCATTAACGTCAGTTGTGTTTTTAAACTAAGCTCTGTCAAAAAGGGTGCCTGGATTAAGTGTCTGCCTAGATATTAGATTAGGTCCTGATTAGTGAGGGTTTACTGTACTCATAAAACATAATATGTGAAAGAATTTTTTCAATACATGAATTTTTAATAGTTCTTAGTTTATTTTCCCCAGGTTTGGTAACCATTATACAGTAGAATAGCGTCTCAAACTTTGGTGGAGGTTGGGATGGATTCATCGATCCCTGGCACATCCACAAAACATATGGGTTTGATGGTTTGGACCACTTTCCTATAAAGTGTTTGGATAACTCTCATCTTCTCTCCTCTGCAAATGCCACTCATTTGATGAAATTTGGTACGAACGTGTAAACCTATATTTATTCCATCGCTTGCGAAGTAGCATGATCGGACTAATAGAATGGGAGTTCAAGGGGCAAGAATATGTTTTTTCTAATTTTTTACCTTTAAAAAATAAAATTTTCCAATTCTTCTATAATCCATTTTGATTAGCTTAAATAACTAAGATTTAGTATGCTTATGCATTTTTCTACGTCTATAATTACTGAAAAAAACTGTAAATTTTAAATTCCCATTTTATTCTTATATGGAGAGAAAATAAATTGTAGTTTGCTTGTTTATGATTTATATATTGATCAAATTTGGCAAATTTATTTATTTCATTATAACCTAATGTTTGAAAAAACATAGGTACACTATTGCCTTCCCTCTGCAGCAGCAAACCTATGGGTAGGTCTACCGTACTCTTCCAATTTTAATTAATACAATAAATATTTTATAACAAAAAATTAAGCTGGATGGAGAAACAACTTATTTTCAAGAGAACAAAGAACACGTGTTTCAGAGCTTTTCCTAATAAGCTGAAGACTGCTGTGAAAGAAATCTATTTGTTTGCAAACATTATCCCCCATAAGCCGAAGGAATATGTGCCAGCGGATTGTAAAAGAATAGAGTCTTGTATGGTGTATAATATCCTGAGAGTGAATTATTAATGATATTGGGATACCCACTTAACCCAGGAGATCAGATAGTCTACGAGTCCATTGAGGAGTCTATACAGATCAGGATGGCATCAGCAAGACAACTTGTTGCACGAGCACGGAGTTCCAGGGGCTGAGGGTGGCTCTAGGGCATACCCCCAAAGAGCTGAAGAAAAATTTCTAAAACAAATTTCACTATAACAATTAGTGTTATCAGAGTTGTAGAGTTACTGAATCCTCGAGTTGTGCTTGTTATAAATCCCAGCATTGTAATGGCTCTTCAACAGCTTATCAGTGTGATCGTCAATGGAAATGTTGGTGTAGAGAAAGTCACATCCAGGATCCACCTTTGTTGTAACCCTCTCAAGGCTGAAGGTCAGTTGTGGGTCTACAATAAGATGGGGGGGGGGCATGGGTTTCCAGTTTGTGAAAGGTCGTTATTGAACATTTGGACATTGAGCTTCACGCTACGTTCCTTTTGCATCAGTCAAGAATTGAGGCAAGGCTGGACTGTAGAGGAACAGAGGTTTGTGGCTATTTCCGTGAATTTAATTTAACAACATCATCAGGAAATAATATTATAAGGGTGTACACATATTTAAATGATGAAAAATATTGATGAAAGGGTTAAGGGTCCCAGAAGCCTTTTTGAGGTACTCCAGACATTAGAGTGAACTCTTGCTCTCACCGAATTCACCAAACAAATCCTAAAAAGAAAAACTTTTCCAGTGACCAGTAGTTGACCAACTCAGGACAATAGAAAGATGGAAAGATGGGTCTGTACTTTTTGACCTGGGAAGGGTTACCAGTTTTGTGGAGGGGAACTAAATGGCATACATACCTTTGAAGCTCTTGGGAAATACCTTATGTGCTATACTGATATGAATAGGGCACACAAAGGATCCAGCTAGGATAAGTAACTAAACTAGCGATGCAATATACAGATTGATGAGGGATGCTATATTTAATAATTTAAATACTTAAATCTGAAATGGCAACCATAGGCCTACGAATGTAGGTATTCTAAACAAAATAGTTTGCATTTATATCCTAGACATTAGTTTATTTTAATTGTGAGCACAACATCTAAATCACTATGTTTTGTATCATACACTATCGTATTTTCTTTGGTTCGATAACGGCAGCAAACAAAAATCTTCTGTAATAATCAATCATAGTGTAAGTGTTATTATTATATATATAATTTTCTCATGTGGCCATGGCTGCCTGGATAGTGACGAAATGCATTGATCCGTCAGCAGCAACCCCACTTCACTTCATTTCAGCTCAGCTCTTAGATTTTCTCTTCTGCTGCTGTGGTGTGCAGTGGGAGTAATACCACTCAAATTCGGTATTAAACCGGGCTTAGCTTTAAATAGTTGTAATTTTATTCATTTAATGAACAGTGATTTAGTTTAGATTCATACCAAAGACTGTCTTCTGTAAATAGGTGAGTTTATTCATTAATTTTATATTGGTTACAAGGTTAACTGATGTAGAGGTTAGCCTTGTTATAAGGCCGAAGAAGCTATGTTTTAATTTCATCTTGCTATTGATCTAGATTCTTTGAGATGTTTGTGATTAATTTACACTATTTTTAAGGAGAGATATAGGTATAATAGGCTTCGATAATTAGTCCTATTGATAGTGTAAGAGATCATTTCAAAACTGCTGACTTGAGATGTTTAAATGACACTGCATTATTCATTATGGAAATTTAAAATGTGCTTACAGGCTATTTCTTATAACTAAAACCCGTTTCAAACATTTTGTTATTCAATTTTATGTTAGCTTAGAATAAAAGTTACGTTTTATGAGCCACTTTATAGGACATAGCCTAAAAAAAGTTAATTTAAATAGGTTAAAATTAAAGCCAAGACTGAATTCAGTTATACTGTATTTTCAATTAAGTAAATTTTTAACTTCAAAATAGTCCCAAGCCTTAAACAAATTATTAAAAAATCTTAAAATGTTTTGAGCATTCTATACAATCCTTTCACAGCTACGGCAGTGATGTTTCCATAAAATGTACTTAACTTATACAGGATTCTAATTTTGACAACATTATAATTTTGATGATTTACTTAAGTTGAGTTAAACCTTACTGGCTTAAACGCTAAGCGGTTAACTCAAGTCAATAAGTTAAGTTACAGTCGATTAGTCGATCTAGACATTATTTTGGACCAGGTTAAGCTAGCACTGGGTCGGCTATGGGCCTTATAGGCTATCAATTCAGTAAACTGTTGGGTTTTACAGTAGGCCTAGGTTTTTTATTTCATGTTTTACCAAATTTTAAATTTGTTTATTTCCCTTTGGTTGCATTTTAGTTTACGTCCTACATTTACTATTAAGCTATACATTAACTACCAGCTGATTATAAAATGGAACTGTACAAAACCTAACCTTGAAAACCAAACTGCAGTATGTGAGTAAATGTAGGACGTAAACTAAAGTGCAGTCTTCCTAAGGGTACGGTACTTTCCTGTTATAGGGAACATTCATTATTATCAATGATTTCTTTACGATATACCGGTACCGATATTTTTTTTTTACTTCACGATCCGTATTCCTTCAGTTTTAATATCTTCAAACGCATTTAAATTACAAATTAAGAACTAACTTACTTGATACTTGATGTCTTCGTCTTTGACCCAGCTTGTGGGATTGACTGCGTCAAATGCCTTTCGGCTATTTCTTTCCCTTGAATAGTGGGATTCCTTCTGCATCGTTCAGGTTGTATACTGGCCATTCTAAAAGTTCATGTTTGATGTGGTTCTTGAAATTTGAGGTTGTGAGGCTTTTCACGTCGGCTGGGAGGCTGTTGAATAGTTTTATGGCTGCAATTGGAAAGGATTTTTGTGTTTTGCTCAGACTGCATCTTTAGACTTCCAGATTTGGAGCTTTACGAGTTCGATGTTGAGGTGTATGGTAGTTCTGTCATTAAAAAGATTCATATTCTGTTTGATGTAGTTGAGAGAGTTGAAAATATACTGGTTATATACTGTGAGGATTCTAAATTCTTTAAAAAGAGGTTTACAGTGTTCAAGGTCCTGAGCTGATGCCATAACTCTTAGCGCCTTCTTCTGCAGAATAAGAGCATCACTGCAGGCAGCCGAGTGTCCCCACAACAGAAGACCATAGTTCACATGACTGTGGAACAAGGCATGATAAATTCCTAGAAGGTGATCCACAGTTAACGCCTTTGTCAATTTCCTTAGAAGGCAAATTACTCTTGATAATTTTGAACAGACCTTGGCCACATGAAAGTTCCAATCAAGCCTGTTATCTAGCCAGAAGCCTAGAATCTTGACTGGTTCATCGTTCCCCGCTGGAATTTCTCTTTTTAGAGACAATAATATTCTTTGAGTCTTATCTTCGTTTAGTTTTAACTTATTGCTCTGAAACCAGTTTTTAGCAGAGGTGAAGGTTTCATTGGAATCTGACAGAACGTCTTCAACCCTTAATCCTCTGTTTACCAAGGTTGAGTCATCGGCAAAAAGGACCTTGTTTAGGCAAAAAATAATAGCCTATATTGGATTAGGAAATGAAACTATTCTAAATTAACCTAACATAACTAACCAAACTTGCTGTAGGCTAAGTTACCGTTTCAAAATTCCTTTTGAAAAAGCATGTGGGGAATAGGTTATCAAATGGAATTTTAAAATGTTAAAGCATGTTTGGTTGGTTAGGTTAGTTTAGAACAGTTTCATTTCAATATAGGCCTAACATATTTTTTTAATTGTTTGTTGATACTGAACAATATTTATTTACTGTATCCTTATTGTAGTTGTCAGCTGATATGATGTCTCAATTTGTTATTATCAATATATCGGATAGAAAAATAAAATACTTATCGATATATCGAAAAGAAATCATCGATAATGAATGTTCACTTTAACAGGAAATTACCCTTGTAGGCTAAATAAAAATGGAATTAAAACATGATTCTAATCTTGTGAATTTTAAATATTTAACTGTAAAAATGGGTTCAGTTTAGTAATGTGTTTTTTTTTCTTTAATTTAATTTTTAAGTCAAAGAAATGACTTACGGTACGCCGAATAAAACTTTAAACTTCGGCCTACCTACCTATTAATCAAAATTGTGAAATTTGTGGAAACAAAAAAAAATACTTATACGTGGAGAGTAAGTTAACTTATTCTGTCAAATTTCGATACCAAAAAAGGTAAGCCTAAGCTAAGCACAGTGGAGATTCTCAAGATTCAGAAAAGGGCCTTAAGAATCATCACCTTTAGTGACAGACGGGCTCATAGTAGGCCCCTTTTTGTGAGACTAGGAATACCTACTATCTTCGGTCATTACATTCTCCTGTGCCTTCTTCATGTTTGGGATAAACATAGAGACCTTACGTCCCGTGCCATGGTCCATCCCTACAACACCAGGCAGAGAAACATGCTGGATGTTCCCCGCGTTAGGCTCTCCAAGACAGCTGTTACATACCAAATTCAGGGGCTTAAGTTCTTTAACAAACTGCCAATGGCCATTAGGGGCTGGAAAAGGGGTTATCTCAAGGACAAGCTAATGTCGCTAATTAAAGAGAGAGCCTACTACAGCATCTTTGAGTTCATGAATGATAAGGAAATATCAAACATGCGGTAGCCATCTTTTCCATCAAACCTGGAAGTCATTTTTAACTTGTGTATATATATATATATTAATTTTTTATATCTAAACGGTTTTACTCGTTGTGGACTGATTTTTCTTTTGTGCGTGTAAAAGAAATTTTTTTTTTTCGAGACGCAATCTATCCCTTTTTTGGGTAAAAGATGAAGAAGGAGCAAGTAAGTTAGTAAGTACCTCTTAAAAAAAAAAACAACCTACGATAGAACCTACATAAAGTTAGCTGTTGCATTCTTCAAGGCTCACTATTGCAGGTTATCTTAAGTTTTGAATCTACCTAAAGCTATAATGTTAGAGTCTGAGCTTTGTGAAAACCTCTTATGTGGTTTACAAGTCCAGATTATTTTGTGGTATGAAGAGTCCACACCTGATTTCAGAGTCCAAGCTTTTCTACGAGGTAGGCCTACACGGATCCAGACCATAAAGACATCTGAAAAATTCAAACATTGTTGCAAGAATTGTAGCAATGGTCAGTTACAAACATCAGTGAGGAACTTTTACTTCAAACATATTCCCCGCCACAAGATGATCTGTGGCTACTAACATTTGGGTGAAGACTAGGGGACAACATCACTACCAAAATGTTTGGCTATTGAGACAAAATGCTTGACTATTGAGACAAATTTCAAACCTATTCTCCACCACAAAGATTATCTGTTACCAACATTTGGGTGAAAACCAGGCACAACACCACTATCAAAATGTTTGGCTATTGAGACAAATAAAACCTGAAATTTTTGTGAATGATAAGTTGATTAAATATTGCCCTAGGCCAACCAATTGTAGGTTGAAGTTCCTAAAGCAGAACACCAGACAACAGTGCAAAATTGTTGCAGAATGAATAAGAGGCTTGTAAAAAGATCAGAGGAGTTTAAAATAAGCTGCAGCACACACTCGGAATCAAAAGCATCTACGAAGTTTGTGTGATTGAAAAATCTTTATTTTGTCGTAATTATTAGAGACGATAATGACGTTTCCCCAAACGAAGGAATTGTTCGTGATATCGTCGCGATTGCGGGAGACAATGATGATATTTCCATGACTGTGCAAGATGTTTATATAATGGCTTGCAAAGGCGGGAGACGATGGATGTGTCCCTGTCACTGTTGAATATCTTCACAATTTTGCTGTGACCACTGATGATGTCACGATTTAGCTGCAATCACAGCAGATGCTCATGATTTGATCATGATCGTGGGGGGTAATGTACAATATTTTATGAACAAATTAATTACCTATTAGGCCTATATAAAACCAAGATTTTAAAATCAATACTTAGGCTACCAAAGCAACATAATTCAGGCTGAAGTCTCAACATTTTATATGACTCAAAGTAGAGAATTATTGTTCAAATTATTGTTTGATGGCTTCAAGGCCGATTGTAAGGGGTTAAGAACTTGTATATACTGGGTTTAGATCTTTAGTGGGATCAGCTCTGTAGTCTTTTTACTCACTCAAAACAAAGTCACAGGTGGATTCACCCCTATTAATTTATAACACAGGACAAACCTGATAAAAGGGGTGATACAGTTTTGGAAAACGTTTTTTTTTTTACTAATCAAAGGCTACAGCATTTTGAACATTTAAAGACCATTTTGGTATGAAGAGATCCACAACAATTGTTTTTACCTTTGTTAAAAGATTGAGAGATAGCCTACAAAAAATTTCCATGTAGCCTAATAACATACTAGTAACTACTTACATGTATACAAATTGTTTGTGGTTAGATAGAATTCACTTAAAGTACACTGACACTGCCTTACCATGAAGCGCAGTAATAGTTTTTCCAATAGAAAATTCATTAAAATAGT